TACTCATACTACTTTAACACATTCTGACATTCTTGACCGCTGGCAGATTTTCCTTTTTTACTAAAATGAATGAGGTAATGAGGTTCTTGGGTAAATGTATTGCATTTTTTATGCATGTCTGTTTTGAGATATGGATGTAAATTCTTTTTTGGAAACCTACTCATACTTTTAGCATATTGTAACGGGCGCAAAAGATATGTTATGTCATGGAAAATATTACCTCAATAATTTTGGATTTTTGCGATTCCAGTTGAAGGAACGTTTCGAAACTCTTCTTTCCACTATTCCACTGAAAATTACTAAACTAAAAGTAATAAACAATTTATATGGTATATATTAAAAGGTATTGCACTTCAATACCTCGGAAAGGACAAATGATATAAGCGTACAAAAGCGTCGTATCTTCGTACTTGTTCGCATAGACTGCTTGGCAATCTCTTGGACAAAACGATATAATGTGCTGACGATAGTCGTATGACTCACGCGAAATACTTCACTAGTACTGAAAGCGACAGTTCTTCGAGTGAAATTGTCAGAGGTCAAAACTTTCAAACTCGATGGCAAAATTACATCATTACGAGCTTCCAATACTACACTTTTGCGTAATACGTACATAATAAGTGAAGAAATTCGGATTTGCAAATTTTCCATAATTGCATAATTGTGATTTTCTGTGTTTATTGTTTGCAACTTTGTTTGAGTTAGTGTATACGTACAGCAAAATACTTCTGAGAAAATAAGAAAATCGTTGAGGCTTTATTTTTTAAGGTCGCATCAACTACTAGGTCATTAGCGACCACTATTGCTTGTAACGGTATGGTTACTGTGAAGATGACACGATAATGATGATGATAGGGGGTGAAAGGACGAACACAATACAACCATCCCTGAGGCGGGACTCGAGCCCGCGATCCTTCGGTCCGACATCACTAGGGCACTACTGCCTTAGCGATCTCGGCCACCGGATCGGTTCCGCTTAGGCTTGAATTGAGAAAGAGGATATTTTCATTTTCGAGCATTTGATAAATTATTTGAACGTGTTCCTGTGAAGGTGTGCTTAACAATTTAACCAGTCGCCAAACGAGTATTTTCCTGAACACACGGCGATTATATGCTTGTATTAACACATTTTTGATATCATAACAATAATGTTTGTTATACAATTACATTAATTTATATATCATCGTATATGTCATCAAGTATATTAATTTTAATTTCCTCCACTCCAACCGACCAAGATTCAATATTTCTAAATCTTATTTTCTTTATTTTTCTTTATTTGCTGCTGTGCGGACATCATTTACAAGTTTCTCGATTTAAGTAGAGGTGCTCCAAGTGCATTTACTTTCTCCTAACGGCTTCGCAATATTATACTACTATATGGACCTGCAAAAATATTTCCAACCAGCACGTTTTCTCTAGGCGCTGAGACACAAATACAGGTCGATTAAGTAAACTCGCCATGCGATTTATCGCAACGCTACGCTGTCACTCGGCCGAACTCGTTTTTGCTGACGCTTAAACAAGCTAATGGTCTCTATCTCATTATTTCACAATTTTCGAAAATTCTGAGAGTTCAACATAAAGTGGACCTGCTCCAGTTCTGAAGAGTCCTTTTCTCTATCATTGGAAAGAATTCCAAAGTAATTTAAGAGCCATTTGGGAGAATTATTTCATAAATTGCATTAATTACATGAAGTTATACGAAAACTATCGTTTTTTGTTACAAAAATGTACATGTACATTTAAAATTTTGTTAGAACATATGTCATTGTAAATAAATACGGATGGATGATTTAATGGAAATTTCTTTTTAACGACGAGGATTAAAGATTAAATACAAGATGGATGCGTTAACATTTCACCATCAACAAAATTATAATAGATTTTGTTAACTACGAAATTTGAATTTCTCGACCTACAATAAAAAACAATGAAATGAAGCTAATGAATACTAAACTACAATATAGGAATCTATTTTATTTATATTTTCTTCTGATCAATGGCTCTTGCAAGGGTGATTGGTGATCACAAATGAAAACCTTGAAGAAATCTGTCACAACATTACGTTGCGTAAAACCGAACAGATAAAATGAATGAAAAGCAAAGGTGAACAAGTTGATTACCAATGACGACATCACTGACTTCGACAACCGTGTAGTTTTATTGCTTTCTGAATGTTATAGTTTCTGATCCCTTAACTGAAAATATTGTGATTTTCATTGCAGAAAATTATCAGTTTGGTTGCACGTAAATTAAAACATATTTTGATTTAAAATAATTAACTAGCACAACATAAAGCAGCACGCATTGACTGCATTTAAAAACGTGACTAAATTATACGAAATTTGAGTTGCTATTTGAGTCCTGTTATCTAAAAATGGCAATATATTTCAATGCAATTTATTTGTGCTGTGAATAGAAAGTAAATGCTAGTATCAAGTTCTCTAAAATCTGCAGAAAACTTCTTTTTGAAAATGTACTCAAAGATAACCTTCCCAAGTCTTACAAATTTCACAAATAGACACTTTAGCTACGCAGAGATTTATCGTATGTTTGCTTTTCTTCTTCACAGCCAATACGATTGTCATTTTAACAGCCAGTTAAAAGAGTATCGAAAGATTTGCACTTAAGATACGCTCCCCCTGGGTGTGGTTTATCTACAAAGGTTACACCCGAAACATTGATGTTTAAGACATGCGAAGTTCTGTAAATAGTGATGAAAATGTAGCGTTCTAGACACGACTTCGCGACGAACATACTGTGCTGTAAAGATGCCGCTTACCTACCTTTTTGTTCGTCGTCCATGGCGCTGCCTGACCCGGGCGACGCTGTAGCAGAATGCGCTACGCGAGTCGGCGGCGCTGTTCCATTATCTGATCCTTTATCTGTTAGAAGCGCGATAAGCTCCCACAAGCCCCGCGTCACGCGGCGCCGCGTGGGTCGCGAGCCGTGCGCCGCTTTCGCCTCTGCGCGTCAGCGTCGGAGCGCCCGGACGAGCAGCGGTTCCCAAAACCAGCCGTCCACCGCTGGTTCCCACTCGCAGCGGCTCAAGCGAACCGGGCGCCACCGTCAGACCTCCGCCACTGCCAAGGCCGCTCTGCCGACGCGGCGCGGCGCGGCGCGGCGTGGCGCGGGGAGGAGCGGCGTGGTGTGGCGCGACGTGGCGTGGCGCGACGCGGCAAAGGCGGTTCCGCGATCCGACGGCGGAAAAGGAAAAGCCGTCGTGGAAAGTCACGATCGCCCCCAGGTGCTCTCCTGTCAGACCGGCCGAGATGAGCTTCGCGCCAGCACTGCCCCTGACTCTACAGTGACTGGAGGCCCCAGGGTTCGCCACAGGACGGTGGCGGGTTTTCGGCACTGCCTGCGTAACTAGGTCGAAAGCAACAGCTAGGAGGAGGATTCTAGCGACTGGCTGCTTGAATCGGGAGTTTCCCGTGGTTTCATCGATAGATACCAGGATGCATTCTAATGTTGATGATAGGCGAAACTCTAATAAAAGGACAAGGGGCCACACGCGATCTTTTCTTCCTCTTTCTTGTCCTTTCCTCTCCCCTTACTTGCACACACTTTCTCCTACATGCACTATATTAACACACACTAATAATAATAATAATAATAATAATAATAATAATAATAATAATAATAATAATAGGCGAAATTCTATTAAAAGGCAAGGGATCACGCGCGATCTTTCCTTCCTCTTTCTTGTCCTTTCCTCTCCCCTTACTTGCACACACTTTCTCCTACATGCACTATAGTAACACACACTAATAATAATAATAATAATAATAATAATAATAATAATAATAATAGGCGAAACTATAATGAAATAACAAGGCACCGCGCGCGATCTTTCCTTCCTCTTCCTTTTCCTATCCTCTCCCCTTACTTGCACACACTTATACCTACATGCACTATATCAACACACACGACAGGAGACCAGTTGGGAGTTTAGAGCTTGTCCCGGTTGAGGCGATGTCCCGTTGGTGAGAGAAACCTGAAGGGAAAAATTCCCTCGCAAGGCGACTTGCATGTAGGCGCTGGATTTCATCTTCAAACAGGAGAGGCACACTGCCATCAACTTTAGTACACTAACGGGACTGATGACAAAATCAGTTGCCCGAAACATCAGTCAATCAATCATTCTCTCCTGAGAGTTGGCAGCCACCGCCTACCGCGGGTCTTTTTCGCTTCCTGCATTGGAGAGCGCTGCTTCGAGAGGAAGATGAACCGCGCTGCTCCTTCCGGCCACAGTATTTGCTAGTCACTTTGTTTGTTTCAGTACATCGCGTCTCGAGTTACACATCCGTTTTGTATATCCTGTTTCAGTTTACATTAAAAATGAGAGCGTTTGAAAACGCTGGGTATTGTTCAGAATTCAGTGCGTGCAAAATCTGACCTCAGGAAAAATATTCTGGAGCGACGAAGTCGTTTCTGTCTTAGGCCTGCATATCGGCACTTTTTATTTCGTGTATGACGACTTCGTCTGGAGACTTTTTGAGACGAATAAAAACGTTTACACATATCATTCATTAAGTTAAAAAGTCAAGTAGTTTTCTCTAAATGTTAACAGTATTTCTGAAAGATTGGTTGGAATATATTTACAGAGTCAACAAATTGGGAAATTATTTTCTTTAAATGTTTCAAATTATATTGATATCAAAATTGCCCAATTGTACCAGTATTATTAATTATTAACGTGATTGTA